TTATCTTGCAGAATCTTGAGGTTTCAATGACGTTAGATCCCATCAGTCTGTATCTTGCTACCCATGGCCTCTCTTTTTCGGACATTGAAATGTACGAAGTTCCGTAGTAGCACAAGTTTACAGCACAATTAATTGGGAATTGGAATGTGGCCTGTAATTGGTCATCTTCCTGCAACCTTATGTCCCTCATCTCAAGAATAACAGTCCCGGTGGCGTTATAAGGGCACTGGGGTCTGTAAGCGATGAAACATCTGTCGATACAATATGAGTGTCCCTGTAATCTGTGAAAAGCTTGTGAGAGTAAGGTAGGAAAGCGCAGGTGTAAGGGTTTCCATGTCGAAGAAGCGGAGGCTTCATGGATATCTGATTTGTGAGTACCAGAAATTTCATCGGAGATGTTGATATTAATCGCCGAGGTATCCATGCGTAGGGATGTTAATGGTGAAAGGTTATCGGATGTCAACCTCCAGATCTACCCCGATAGCTACCTTCCGGTTCGGGGGGGAAATCCAGGTCAATTTGCTCGAGGAGAGTGGCAGGTTCTGGATGTGCCTCGAACTCTGTTCGGTGGGTCCCCACCTCAATACTGTTAACCCGCATTCCACGGGTGTTCATCTGCTTCAGGGCCTCTCGGTAGCATGTTCGGGTTGTCGCCGGATCAGTTCTGGCCACCCCAACCCCGGTGTCCGTGGGGAATTTGATGCACGAGTGGCGGGCAGAGGCTATTGCCTCCAGATCTTCCAATCCTGGTCGGCCCAAGATGGCATTATGGGCACATTTAATATCTACCACCACGAACGTCATTTGGAGTGATGCCTTGTGCATTTCATCCCCAATTTCAACTAACAATTGGATGGTCCCCTCAGCCTCAATACAGTTACCGGTGAAGCTTGCCAATGGGGTTCTTAGGTGGGTCAATTGACCTCTCTGTAGGCCCATTTTCTCAAATGATTGTAAATACAATACATTCACACTGCTCCCGGTATCGATCAGTACCCGACGTATCAAAGCATTGTGAATGCACATGCTCACCACCAATTCATCTCTGTGCGGGCTTGGCGAGTTGGGTAAATCAGCTGGCCCAAACGTGATCGGGTCCGTCCTTCCTTTCTTCTGGGGGGGAGTGGAGATGGATCCCACATAAAGACTTCGCTCGAACCTTTTCCGTTCGGCGTTCGAATCCGCCGTTTCCCCGCCCCCAAATATAACCTTGACCTCCATTCGAGGTTTCTTTCCGGGGCCCCCCAAGCCCTCTGGTTCATCCCTAGGGGGAATATATACGTCATTCTGAGGCTGGGCATCACGATGAGCATCCCGTCGCCAGCTATTGGGTTTCCTGATCGGTTTCAAAGTGCCTACCGCACTTGGATCCTTATTCACATACTTTCCCAGATGACCCCACCGGACCAAGTCCTCAATGGCCGTTTGTAGTGTCCTACAGGCGTTGGTGGCATGACCTTTCCTGTTATGATATTTTCAAAAAGCAGACTCGTCTGCTCCCATATAATGTGAAGAATCAGTCGGAAGGGGAATGTTGTCCTTCTCGTTCTAATAAATGGTTGCCACAGACAGGACCAGGGGAGTAAATCTCCCTTGCTTGGGAGGGATAGCGGCCATTGGGCTAGGACCCAGCCGATCGGCCATCTAGATTGGGGCAGTAGGCGCAACGACCTTGTCCCTGATCATTATCTCTTCTTCCAGGGCAGCATGCTTGCGAGCTCTGTCTAATACCTCGGCATATGCTGTACCCGGATTCTTCTTCAAATCCTTGTATAACTCTCCCGTTCGGAGAGCGTTCGTGAATAGGGTGATGGCGGTATCATCCGTCATATTTCCAACCGTCAGTGTTTCGTCCCTCCATCTTTTTAAGAATTGATTGAGGGTTTCCTTGGAGTTCTGCTTCACGCTGGTCAGGTAGCTGAAGTGCCATTTTGGGTTGGCACTGGAAGCAAATTGGGCTAAGAATAATGTCGATAATTCGGCGAAACTGTTGATCGACCCGGGTTGCAGGGTCCCGAACCACTCCTGGGCGGGCCCTTTGAGTGTACTGAAAAACAACCGACATATAGCAGCCTCAGGTGCTCCTAGTAGCATGAGTCCTCCTTGATAACTCCTTAAATGCACATGGGGATCTCCCACCCTGTCATAAATTTGACCGGCCGGTGGTTTGGCACCTCCCTGGATGTCCGCATACATAATTTCCCTGGTGAAAGGGGAAGTAATCCCGAGCTGAATTGGGGCAGGCTGTACGGGCGCCCTATTCATCTCATCTCTCATCTCGTTCATCTGCCTCCTCATTTCAGCCATTTCTTCCTCCTGGGCCGTCAAATGGGGCGGTGGTGGAGCCCTCAAATCTATATACTCCTGATCCCAATGCCTTTGAGCGGCACTGGTATTATTCCGTTTGTCATGCTGGAAATGACGACCAATAGGGGTAGGTCCACTGGCTTATGACCCGATCGGGGTCCGGTCACTAGGAGTATGATGCGCTGTTGGTGGAGCGCCACGGCGATTATCCCGATGGGCCTGCGAGCGGGACGACGATGTGGTCGTTTCTGTGCATGGAGTTTCCCCTGTAAAATTGGATCCTCCTTCTTCCTCGTTCGCCATGTGCTGCATGACCTGGGCCATATCTCGCATGGCCTGAGGATTTCTCCTTAGAGCTTCAGGAATCACAAAGTCCCCATCAAAATGAGGATATGATCCTCGGCTTGATTGTCCCTGAGGGGTTTGATTTCCCGGGGTGTGACTCCTTCCGTGACGGCGTGAACCATCGTTTGTGTGATAAGAACTGATTCTGACCATTTTCAAAAATAGTTGTTTTGGAATAATTGAATGTGAAACTTTTTGAACAGTTTTCCACAGACGGCGCCAATGTTGAAGGTAAGTCTCGTAGATCCGAAAGCCCAACACGAACTTTGGATATATCAAGAATGGACCAGAATCAAAGTGTATAACAAAATATAAAATCTGAACTCACTAAATACCCAAAAGCCCACTTGTATTAATTAACCTGTCTGATTACAAGGAAATTCCCGATCGGTAGGTCGGAATAATGCTTTAATACAAGAAACAAGAGTAATAATGCTATTCTAGAGCTTGAGTATTGAAATGCTAACCCTTACAATGATTTTAAACCTTCTATTTATACTAATGGAGAGCATGGACTGCTCTATGCTGATTGGCCGTTGTTCCACCGACTTGATCACCCATGTTTCCACTTGCTGATGTCACAATCTGGCATTAATTGCGTCTGGCCACTTGCTGATTGCCCGTTGCTCGAACGGGATGCTGGACCATGCGGATGACGCTGTCAAATTGGCCCAAGTATGATATATGGTCCGAATTCCATTCAGTATCTCTTCTTTCTGGGCCGGCCTCTCCTTAGACCGAACCCCGTTCGGTACAGATTCTTCACTGAGCCTGCTTATCATAGAACAATGGACCCGTTGTTTGGGCCGGGTATCTTGGACCTTTTTTATCCGGGTATTGGGCCTCTGGATCAATATCCCAACAACATCTATTTTCAGGAAAAATGAATATAGTACCTATACATCTCCAAGATTTAAAATCAGTGCAAAAAAGGCATTAGATTACTATAGAACAAATTCAAAATCAAATTTCAAATTAACAATAAATCAATAAAAGTGAATCAAATCAGTCACAAAAATAATCTCGATTTATAATTACAATTGAAAACAAAGATAACCTGTAACCAGTGTTCTCAAAGGCGGCATAAGGCGGGGCCTAGGCGCGCCTAGGCGTGAGGCGGCGGAGAAACGCCTCGCATTGTAGAAAGGTGTGGAAAATGCGGTCAACTCAAAAGTTGACCACCAAAGGCGTGAAAAGACGAAGCCTAGGCGTGCTTAGGCGTGAAAAGGCGAAAGTTTTTCATATGAAATATTTTTTGCAAATAAAAACTGATTAAATTTAAAAATAAAGTACTTTTATAAACATGTTATATATGGAATCTAATATGGAATAGTAAAAAACAAAAATGTATCCTTTTGTATTTGCACTTTTTATAATATATTAGGCTCAATCTTGTATAATATATTTTGGACATTTATTTTCTTCTTCATATATCAGTATTAAAATAATAATTATCAATAGAAATCTAAAACGCTTTTTCCCGCCTAGGCTTCGCCTATTCCCGCCTAGGCTTCAAAGGCTTGAGGCTTGTCCTCGACGCCTTGACACGCCTCACGCCTTTTAGAACACTGCCTGTAACCCTTATAAAGTTGATGGAAACCAATAAGAAAATAAATTTAAAATCAAAATTGAACAAAATACAAACAATTTCATTAACAAACTGAATAGTAATTAAGGAAAACGGAGAAGGAGAGCAGGAGGGGGGAGAAGAAGAAGATTGAATTCACCTGCAACAACCCTACCGCTCCCCGCCACCCAATCGCCGACGGCCGGAAATGACAGAAAATCACCCTCTATACTTCTACAGTCGGTCAGAGATAGGATTAGTTAAGATTGACATAAAAATTAAAATAAGAAGAGAATGGAGGAGTTGAAGATAAACAAGAATACGAAGGCAGACAGAAAGATGGGGAGTGGCGGAAACAAGAATATTGCCAGAGAGAGAAGAAGAAATAGCATAGGGATGTGAGAAAAGAAGTGGAGGCAGACGGGCAGAGCAAAGGGTAGAAAAGGAGTTAGGGAATAAAAAATATAAGGTCTTATTGTGGAATTATTTCTATGTTTTTGTCCTATTCTAGGCAGCCCTTATGAAATAATTCTACGTTCTTACACATTTCTCTCTCCTCGCACAACTCTCCACCACACAATATACACTATCTTAAACTTTGTGTCAAATCCATTTGGAAGTTAAAATGAGAATGGAGGTAGTAATTACTTATAGCTAGAATTGATTAACATCATAATAACATGGTTGAAAACTGATCTACACGTTCAATATTGGATTATTGGACCTTTGAGAGATTAATTAATTGGACTGTGGGCTGGGAGTTGATCCAAAAGGAAAAAAGCAAAAACAAGGAAAGAGAATGAATTAGGTAAAAAAATATAGATCAGAGAAATTAGTGGTAGCAACCAAGTATGGATCGCCGGTCTTCGTCTTTGAAAAAACAACTACCGAGGGCGATCACCGCCATTGATGCGGATGACGAGCACCTGCCAATACTATTGGGCAATCACCGCCGTCACGACGCATCACCTTCCTCCTCCAATGAGAGCTCTCCAATCATGAGGCCCTCATCGTCCCCCATTCACCCCCACGACGGCAGAGGGGAGGTCATCGTCAAGATTGACGGAGATCACAGCGGCGAGATGCGTAACCAGGCATGGTCCGGCGACAGCGGCGGCGATGATTTCGAATTCCAGCACAACCCCACCAAGGATGTGGCGGTCGATCCGCCGTCGAGGCTCATAGGACAATTCCTTAATAAACAGAGGGAGGCCGGCGTCGAGATGTGCCTTGACATGGACATGGACATGGATGAGCTGAGTCATCACCACCGTCACACCACCGGTGCATGTGCATGTCCGGCCAATTTCCCGTCGTCTTCACCGGAATCTTCCTTCTACGTCAACCGTTATAACAGCAACCGGATCCCGGCTTCTAAAGAATTAAAAGTCCAATTCATGGACGAGCAGTCAGGGGATTCCACGCCTCCCAGCAGAGCGGTAGACATTGAGTCTGATCATCACCGCCACCGCCACCACAATTCCATATCGTCCACCCGCTTATCCTCAAGTGACGACGAAGACGATGAGATGATGGAACAACATCAGCCACAACACAGTCGGAGGAGGACCTCCGACAGCAAGACGTTTAGCTTCAACAACAATAACAATAACATAGTCGAAAGCGGCCCCGAAGGCGGGGGAGATGGACACGTCGTGAAATGCACCTCATTTCAGCGGAGAGGTAGTTTCATGGGTGGGAGAATCATAAATAAAACAAAGTCAAGGCTAATGGACGACATGGTTGTCGTCCCGGACGTAGTGGTGACCGAGAAGAAGTCGGGGAGGTTATTCGGGAAGTCTCAAATAATGCGCTCATCCGGACTCATGATGGGAAAGTCGCTAGAAGAGGAAGACGATGACCCTCTTCTGGACGACTTCGACATCCCAGACGAACTAAAGAGGTCAAAAATAGACGCGTTAACCCTAGCGCAATGGATTAGCCTTATCATCATCGTGTCGTCGTTGATTTGCACACTCGCCTTCCCGAGACTAAAGAACTACCGCATGCGGGGGTTGAGGCTATGGAAGTGGCAAGTCCTTATCCTCGTCCTCATCTGCGGGAGGTTAGTCTCGGGATGGGCAATCAGAGTGGCTGTCTTCTTCATAGAGAGGAACTTTCTATTGAGAAAAAGACTCTTGTATTTCGTGTATGGCGTAAGGAAGGCAGTCCAAAACTGTCTATGGCTAGGTCTTGTCCTCATTGCATGGCACTCCATGTTCGACAAGAAAGTAGAAGGCAACAATGACTTCCTCCGGTCGGTCAACAAGATCATGGTATGCATGCTCATAGGCATCACTCTCTGGCTACTAAAGACACTAATGGTCAAAGTCCTCGCCTCCTCCTTCCACGTCAGCAAATTCTTTGACCGGATCCAAGAATCACTGTTCAACCAGTACCTAATAGAAGCTCTGTCGGGCCCACCCCTGAATGAGATTCACTGTCACCAGGAGGAGGAGGACAAGGCCATGGAGGAGGTGTGGAAGCTCCAGAACGCAGGGGCGAAGTTGCCGCCGGAGCTCAAAGCAAATGCCCTTAAAGACTTGAAGAGCAACAGTAACAAAGTCTTGATCGGCGACGGTGGTTGCGGAGGCGCAACGCCGACAAGGGTCTCCGGCGTCATATCTAGCTTCAGGGGTCCGGTGGCGGACGAAAAGCATAACACCCACCAAGGGATAACGATTGATTTTCTTCACAAGTTGAACCCAAAGAATATTTCGGCTTGGAGTATGAAGAGGATGGTGAAAATGGTCCGGCATGGGGTGCTCTCCACCCTAGATGAGCAAATACAGTGTACGGCTCAAAATTATGAATCCAATCAGATCAGAAGTGAATACGAGGCTAAATTAGCTGCCCGGAAGATATTTCATAATGTTGCCAAACCTAAGTCCAAGTAAGTAGTAAAGATCACTATATACTTCTATTATCTTTTGATTTGACATTTTCATAGTAAAGTAATACCTCCTTCCTAAATTAAACTCATGTTTTAATTTGCACGCGAATTAAGAAAGTGTGATATGTGTGGTCTAAATGTATGTAGGTGAGAGAAAAATTAGGAACAAAAAGGAAAATAATCGTTTATATTCGAAAAAAGAAAGAATGAAAATAATTTTGGGAGAGAATATTTTTTACATTATTCTCGAATACGGGCTCTCTTGACCTTTTCCCAAGTATTGTGACACTCCGTAGTACACTATATAAATAAGACTCTTTAGTAACACTAAAATTGATTGAATCAATTCTATTATACTGGCTCTCTTTCATTTATAATGGAGGTATTGAATTGAGAGATTAGTAGAATTCATAACTCTATAAGAGCTAGACATTCTTAAGCGCGCTACTACACAAGTTAATCTTGATCGGGAATACGTTTGGGTATTTTTATTTCAGTTTATAAATATTTCTTTCTTGGTTGTTTTTTGTCCTTAGACCCTTGAGTCTTTATCAATTGATCCAACAATTATATTGTCTATTGACTTATAGGCACGCCTCTTCTTGCTAGTTTCTAAGACTGGTTATTGGAGTGGTGTGATTTATATAAAATCGGGAAAGCATATAAAAACTAAAGAAAGAAATAAAACTAATTAAGGAAATAAATGCGAATTTCATAGGAAATAAACCCGGCCTAATGTACGTAGACCCTTCTCTGCTTGTACCCTTTCATGTGAATTGTGTACTCGCCGGGACATAATTGGATGCATGGACTTGAAGGAAGCATATGAATAATGAAGCCCTTTATTTCATGGTAAGAACTCGCGTACCCATTTAAAAATGAGATACCGTACCTATCACTTACTTGATTGATCCGCATCATTATATCATTTTAAATTTAGATTTAAATAATTCAACTACAACATTCTCATTGATCCATGTAAACAAAAGTATGGTACCTTATAGGTACCATAGAATCTACCTTATATCATTTCATGTCATTATGTGTGCATAAGTATTAAATGATATATATATGGGCGCGTGCAGTTCCATCTACTTGGAGGACCTGAGGCGGTTCTTGCGAGAAGAGGAGGCAGTGCAGGCCATGAATCTTTTGGGCGGGTCACATGAATGCAAAAGAATTAGGAAAGCAGCCCTTAAAAACTGGGTGGTAAGCTTTATATCATCTATCTTTTGTCTCTATACTTAATCTTCTTCTTCTATGAACTTTTTCTAGTTCCTCTTGTACGTAGTATTTTGTTTGACATACATGCATGTAATTGTACACTAGTAGGAATAAATTATCTACAATATGGTCCCAGAATCATAGACAAGTAGGAGTACAGTATTATACTAGAGAAGTAGAAGTTGACTATTTTCGCTAGTAATGAGTAACTTCTCGCAATGGTCAAAGTTGTGAGAAGTTATATACGAAGTGAGTATATATTAATGATCAAAGTTGTGTATCGACAATGTTAAAAGTTGATCATTGCACATATTTGACTACCTAGAGCTTTAGAATCCTATGGATCTATTTAGAGATACAAAACAATATTCTCCAAGTGTATGCAAAATTGCATAGAATTCTGTAGAATCATATGAAGTTAATTAGGCATAAGTAATATTCTCCAAGTTTATGCAATAGATTGTGCACTCTTCTATACTATTGTAGTCTCTTATGATATTAGAATTCTCTAAAAAGATGTAATATGGTGTGTAATCTTGTATAACATTATAAATAAGTACGACTTTCTCGATTCTTCTAAGAGATTATGGGAGTGCGTGAAGATTTCTTGAAAGACTATAAAGTATAAATGTTTGTGAAAATTCTTGAAAAAGCTAGGCTAGAGCTTTGAAAATTTGTGTAACTTCAGCAAGGAAGAAAGATTTCTGAGAACAAAGTTAGGGTAAAGTAGCTACATATATCCTTTCTAAACCTTAGGGGCATATCTTCACCTCAAGGTAAACATAAAGAGTATATTATTCGTACATCTCCCCTTTTAAAATACTATAGTAATATATTGTCTTATAGATTTATGCGACAATACAAAGTCATATGTGTCTTTGTGTTGCCAATTGTGTGAGAGGTCACCTTATGGTTTCATCAATGTAATTTAAATAATTTATCGAAAATGGGAATAAAATAATGTGGTTTCCATTAATAATAGCTCAATATTATCTAAATAGGAGTAAGTAATGTAATCTTCTGTAATACTCATTGTGATATGATAATGACCAAAATATGAGAGTATTATTTCAAGATAAGAGTACTTTACTTGTACAAAGTACTCCGTATTTAGAAGACGGCGACATCTCCGGTGCTCATTTAAAAAATGTGGTACCGTAGCTACCACTAACTTAATTAGTTCAAATCATTATATCATTTTGAATTTAGATTTAAATAATTCAATGCAACATTATGATTGGTACCTTAATTGGTAACATAGAATCTACTTTAGGAAGATTTCCAATACTTTTTGGAAGATTTCCAATACTTTAGGAATTACTACCATTTAGAGAAACTTTCAATTTGGAAGATTTCCAATACTTTTAAGGGTTAACCATCTTGATTTTGATATTTAGTATCTTGCTTAAGCATGTGGGACGATGTATTGGTGCAGGTGAACGTGTTCAGAGAAAGAAGAGCACTTGCACTGACCCTAGACGACACAAAGACAGCGGTAAAAAAGCTGCACCAGATGCTAACCGTGATAGTGGGAGCCATCATCTTCCTCATCAGCCTTGTAATTCTAGGGTTCGTGACTGGTAGAGGGCTGATGTACATAAGCTCTCAGGTGGTGATCGTCGCATTCATTTTCGGGAACTCATGCAAGACGGTTTTCGAAGCGATCATATTCCTGTTCGTGATGCACCCCTTTGACGTCGGAGACCGGTGCGAGGTGGACGGAGTTGAGATGGTGGTGGAGGAGATGAACATCTTGACGACGGTGTTTCTCAGGTACGACAACCTGAAGGTACATTTCCCGAACAGCACACTGGCGATGCGGCCGATCGGGAACTTCTACCGGAGCCCGGACATGGGCGACTCGGTTGACTTCTTGGTCCACGTAGCGACGCCCATGGATAAGATTCGGGTGATGAACCAACGGATAGTGAGCTACGTTGAGAGCAAGAAGGATCACTGGTATTCGGGTCCCATGGTGGTGCTGATGAACATTGAGGACATTAGCAAGTTGAAAATGTCGGTGTGGCTTAGACACAGGATGAACTTTCAAGACATGGGGGAGAGGTGGTTGCGCAGGGCTCAACTGGTTGATGAGATGGTCAAACTGTTTAAGGAATTGGACATTGACTACCGGCTCTATCCGGTGGACATTAACGTCCGGGCTATGCCTACCATTCAGTCCACCCGACTTCCACCAAAGTGGCAGCCTCCATCGCCCCATTCTGATCCATCGCTTTAATTTGACAATACATGTATATTATTTTTTTAATTATTGCTGTATTTATTAGGGAGTTTCAATATGATAATTTTTCATGTAAACTGTAACTTTTACGTTATACTAGTAGATACTATATTTCATTTCACGTAGTAATGCAATTGCAATGATTAATAAACTTTGAAGTTGCATATATATATATATGGTTCCATGCATGGCAGTTACCCCCATCTTTTCATGAAAACTAGAGCAATGTGTCATTCCTTGTGTTACTTTGGTCTTGTTAAAAGTACTTTACAGAAAATGGTATTGCACCATTAGGCCATTTCCAATGCACGGGTGGATTGGGGTTGCAACTGAGCAAGTGCACTTTCTTTAAAAAAATCTACTCTTCAAATCATATACTCCTTCTGTCCCGAAAAAGTTGACCAAAATTGACTTTCACGTGGATTAATAGAGTACACACTACTAGAGAAGGAACATATAACGTCGGTTATTTTATACTTTTAACGTCGGTTCTGGAACCAAAGTGTAAACGAGAGACGTTATAGGTTAGACCCTATAACGTCGGGTATAAAACCGACGTAAAAAGTTACCTTCCACGTCGGTTTTGTAAAAAACTGACGTTACATATATTTTCAAAAAAATAAAATAAATACATGTTACATCGATTATTTAACAAAACCGACGTTGAATATAATTTCAAAAAAAAAACACATATTACGTCAGTTCACTCAAAAAACTGACGTTAGAAGTAGTTTTTTTAGAAAAAAAATATACATGCACTATGTTGGTTATTTTAAATAACCACCGGTGGTTTCCCAAAAAGGTCTGAATATTCAAACACATTTACCAAACTGAATACAAAAAATATTTGCAGACAAAGTGTTTAGAATATCAAAACACATATACACATCTATACATCTACGTATAGACTAGAAGGAAAATCTCATGTATATCTCTACATGAAGAACACTTACACTCTAAATACAATTGAATGGTTCTCAAAGACTTAATGGACTTAATTGAACAGACGACTTAATCGTTCAGCTATATAAACTTGTTTACTTATGACTTAACAATAAAATTGACTTATTCGATCAGACCATTTGTGACTTATTCGCTCAGCCAGAATTTAGCACTCCTTCCGCTTCAGACGTATCAGCCTGAGAGGAGTTTCATTTTTAACCCTTACTTTTCCGCCTCCATACTTCATAGCTTCTCCAAGCCATAACACGCCAACATCACAGAGCTCCGAACAAACTTGCGAGCTTCGACTATGGACAAACTTTCTCAGTCTTGTCTTCTTGTTGGAACCTTTACAAATTATCATCATCATTTCGCAGTAAACGTAAGTTTGAATAGCTTTACCAATTCCCTGCAACCACAAGCTGACCGAGGCTAGATTTCGGATGGATTCCTTCTTTAACAGAGGGTTCAAAGCTTCCAAATGGTAACTGATTTTCTTTTGTCTTCTTTTATATCTAGGGTTTCTCTTAGATAAAATCATTTTTACACTGTGATGAATTAGTTATGTTATGTTTCTTGAATAGTTAGGGAGATCTTCGTACTAGGTTTAAAAAAAAGAAATTGATATATAGTGATGATCGCAGATCAATTCCCTTTTTGTCGTATGAGAATATTGACTTCAAATTTAGATTTTCTTCAACTGTTTTGGATGATTTGAAGGCTCTAAAACTTTGCTACTTTAAATTATGTCCAGAATTATATGCGTGGATGATCACATTTTTCAAATTTGATTTGCAGTAAACTCTGCTGAAGCTGACAAGTCCTAGGATAAAGCTGTTGAGAAACCATAGAGAGGTTCAACTGAAACAGATGAGGAAAGAAATCGCCAAGCTTCTGGAAACTGGTTAGGAAGAATCGGCCTGGGTCTGTTCTCTGCTTGCTGGTAAGCGATGGCCAGAAAGAAAGGCATGGAGTCCTTAGTGATAATTGTCAGGTCCATGTTTGCTTCCCTAGAAAACATGAAGATTGTTGATAATGAAGGGAAAAAAGGAAAAAAAAAAAAAAGATGAGGCTGATTAGGGATGGACTCGGGCCGTGTGGCCCGACCCGGAACCGGCCCGGGACCGGTACTGTTCCGGCCCGGCCTGACCCGGTGGCCCGGTCAGTGACCGGTCCGGATAGGCCCGGCCCGTGGGTTTTCCGGTCCGGGCTCGGGTCACCCAAAACAAGGCCCGACCCGGCCGGGCCCGAGCCCGGTTCGGGCCAAAAACTATTTTTTTTTTCAATTTTTTTTAAATTTTCGGGTTGGGCTGGGTATTTTGGGCCATTTGGGGTGGTTTGGGGGGTTGGGAGGGGGGTTAATTAGGAAGAGGAAAACAAAAAAAAAATATAATGGGCCCGGCCCGGCCCGGACCCGGTGGTTACCCGGGCCGGTCCCGGGTCCACCATTTCTGAACCGCCGGCCCGCCCGGGCCTAGGCCCGACCCGGACCCGGATCGGTCCCGAGTCCATCCCTAAGGCTGATGGTGTAATTTCTGTCCAAGAGATGATTAGGGAGGCTGCCCAAGATACTGTTCCTGCCCCTGCGGCTTTGAAGGAGGCTGCACAGGTTACAATTCCCTTGGAAACTAGGAAAGAGACTACTGCCTAGGAAAAAATCCCTGCACTAGACACTATGAAAGAGGCTACTGCCCACATGGAGAAAAGAGTGGAATTAACTCATGAGAAGCCTGTGCAGGAGGCTCTACTCCAGGGATGTGAAGCAAAGTTGGAGACGGTTGCTCCGGAAGCCACGTCGTCACCGGAAACAATGGAGAAAAGTTGGAGCCTCTACTGCCCACATGGATAAAAGAGTGGAATTAACTCATGAGAAGCCTGTGCATGAGCCTCTACTCCAGGGATGTGAAGCAAAGTTGGAGATAGGGATGGACTCGGGCCGGGTGGCCCGACCCGGAACCGGCCCGGGACCGGCCCGGGACCGGCCCGGGACCGGTACTGTTCCGGCCCGGCCCGACCCGGTGGCCCGGTCAGTGACCGGTCCGGGTACGCCCGGCCCGTGGGTTTTCCGGTCCGGGCTCGGGTCACCCAAAACAAGGCCCGACCCGGCCGGGCCCGGTTCGGGCCAAAAACAATTTTTTTTTTTTTGCAATTTTTTTTAAAGTTTTGGGTTGGGCTGGGTATTTTGGGCCATTTGGGGTGGTTTGGGGGTGGGAGGGGGGTTACTTAGGAAGAGGAAAACAAAAAAAAAAATTATAATGGGCCCGGCTCGGCCCGGACCCGGACCCGGACCGGACCCGGTGGTTACCCGGGCCGGTCCCGGGTCCACCATTTCTGACCCGCCGGCCCGCCCGGGCCTAGGCCCGACCCGGACCCGGCCCGGACCCGAGTCCAACCCTAGTTGGAGACATTGCTCCGGAAGCCACGTCGTCACCGGAAACAATGGATACGCCGACTAGGATTGTGGTGAATGTTAGTAATTGTAAAAGAATTAAATGCAAATTGAAATCAGTATCAATTTTATTTTAAAAAAATATTTTGAAAAATTCTTGCTATAAAAAACATCTATGTTCATATTTTGAAATTCTTTTATTAGACATGAAATTATATTTCAGAACAAGCAATGTAAACAGATAATATACATTCAACACTTGTTCTAGACAGAAGGGTTATTTGGTTATTTAACATAATTCAGACTTCTCATTCAGCACACGTAGTAAACAGTTTGTTATCTCAGTGACACTTAATGTAGATAGACGTCTTAATTCAGACAGACGTCTTAATCCATTCAGGTCTTAATCCATTCAGGACTTAATGAAAAAAAAAAGTAAATAACCCCTTAGTCAACAACAAACATGGCTAAACCTCAACATTTCAAAACACCTAACATCAAACAAATACTTATATTTTCAGCTTCCATGTTTCAAATTCAAGAATTTAAACTCAAGAATTTAAACTCATAGAACGTACAAACAAAACAAAAATGCAACTATTATCATCAAGAAACTTTTAAGTAAATTAAGTAGTTTATTATATAGAAAATGACATATGTAATTATGTACCTTATGAGTGTCCCTACAGGGAGTTGACGGTTATTTTAAGTGGCATATATAAATTAAGTGGTTTATGTAAATTAAGTGGTTTATTATACAGAAAAATATAGACGCACTATGATTTTTATTTTAAATAACCACCAGTGTATTGTTACTTTTTCCATAAAGGTATAAATTTAGAATATCAAAATACATACTGCAAGTCTACAAAACTAAATACAAAAAAAAAATTTACAAATACAGTGTGAATACAATTGAATACAATTGAATGCTTCCTCTTAAAGACCTACTGAAAGTGGCTCTTCTTGTATCTCTGCGGGAAGCTGCTCTCGTTGAAGACCTACATAAAAGATTAACATGAAAATTACACACACCTGCATTTCAATGATATATCATGGTTGAAGCTTCCTATATCTCCAAGGCTGTAATAAAATTCTCAAAACACCTCAACTGAAATCAACTAAATCAATGGAAAGATGCAGAATACTGTTAACAAAGAAGCCAAGTAGGCACACCAGCTATTGTTTTAATAATCACAGAATCAAATGAATTACCAAATAGAGTATAACATTAATCAATTAAAGAAGCTAGGACTAATTCCATTAAAAGAAAAAAAAATCTGGAAACGATTCGATACTTTACCACTAATATTATTATAGAGCCTCTTGACCCTCTTCATTATCCATCTCAATTTCTTCCACAAAACAATATGCAGAAAGATTTCCTGAAAATCACTAGACATTTTTAATAGACAGACCAGCAATCATTTTTAATCCTGAAAATGATTCACTACCACCAAAGGATTGTCTTGGACCCTGTCAATCCCACACCGGCAATATCTGTTTCATCAAGGCATCAATGCTCCTCATAAAATATATAGAATTTCAAAAGCAGTTATTTTAACTTCCTATTCATCCATCTTCTCAAGTATCAATCATACATAATACATTTATGTTCTTTTCTGCCTATAATCTGCCTGATACATGACCATTGATAGATAACTATGATTTTTGCAAGAATGCTAAGAAATAGTATAATAACAAGACAAGTAAATGATTCTGCAATAGAGATATGTGTTAAAGCATATTCTATTCTTCAAAACAACCTGATTGGCATTTTAAATTAAAAAGCCCCTAGTCCCAATACTATCTTCTTCTTT